TCAATCATATCTTGCTACATCGACAAGAGCTGACATTTGTGGTAGACAACATGTAACTGTTCACGCGTAGGCAAAGGCCTTGTAGCCGGCACCTTACTTGTCATGATGTATTCTCATACTGATTTTTTGCCTATCACATTCGTCTTCCAGATATGATCGACTTTATCCTGTATTGTCTACCTCTTCACCGGCGGTCGAATCACTCTGTCAGTTTGAGAGGCATCTCCATATCTGTGTCACATCCACAATCACAAGCTCGACATGTACCTTAATGGCGCTTACCATGAACAGTATCGAAGCTTCGGATGTTGTGCTTGCCGCTTCCCCGTTGCTAGTCTGCAGTCCTACATGCCACCTATATATAGCGGGAAAAAAAAACAATTCAGTGGCTACCTTGTACGGGGTATGACAACTTACCACAGGTCTGCAGTGCTCTGAATAATAATACCGAGCGAGTTAGCACCGTCAAGCGCCACATTCATACATATCCAGTAGTAGCCTGGGAGAAGAATACCGCTTCAATCACCCAGCTTTCCTTGGGTATACTACCCATTACGTCGCCGATATCTGTCTATAACACTTACAGAGACTCTACTACGAGACTGTGAGATTGCTGACAGCCTCGTGTGTGTCACAATGGTTGTTCTGGAGTCTTGCGTGGTCGTGTACACACTAACTCAACTCTATGTTATCAACCCAGATACAATCATAGCTACAGAATAGTCCCAAGAGGATTCAGGAGAACGGCGGATTCCCATAGCGCCAGTCTTTTAACCTCAACTTCTTTCTATCTTCTGAACCTACTTCTCTGCCTTGTTTTAGCACCCACAAAGGAGTATCAATTGACCGTAATGTACAACTTGTCATCCTTGCCGACAGTTACGGGCTCCTGGCACTCATTTTCGTGACCAGCGTTATCCAGTCTAAACTCCTTTGAAACGTTCTGAACCAGCTCATTAGAAGCCATCACGACCCTGACATCCCCGGACAGACAAGATGGGATACAAAACCAGAAGCGAGTTGGCAAGCTAGTAAATGATCACTACCATGCCGCTGCTTGGATCAAGGCAAGGAGATAGAAGCATCACAATAAGAATGTCATCCTAGTATGAGGGGTAACACGCGACGCCGCGAGCGAGCGAATTGCAATGACCGGCCCAGCGGTGATCGTGTTTGATGAGAGGCGTCATCGGCAACTTGAACAAGGCAAGACAAGCGTTTGATAAGGATGATGATGGACGAGGATATGAGCAGCCGCAAGATACATGGGACGCATATGCCGTTGCTGCTTCTGCTCGTGCTTCTACATATCAGGCCGGTGTTACCCTGCTGTCTCTCCAGGCTGTATCACTGCCAACGCTTCACGCGGTGCAGCAGCGCAGATGAGACGGGCATTATGCAAAGACGTTGAGATTGCATCTTGCAGCCACCGGCGTGCGTATTCACGTATCATACCTAGTAAAACTCGGAAATCTTGGCCCGAGGCATGCATGAAGAGATAAGCACGAGACGCGCTTCTTTCTTCTTCTATTCCTCGAACGGGCGGCGACGTGATACGGCATGGTCTACTACAGTTCTGCAGATACCGGTACATGTACACCGAAACGAATCGAGTCGATACGAGATGGAGAACCATACACGCCCACCCCCTCGACGCGGTTTGAACGCGGGTGAAAGTGGCATCTAGATACGGCCGCGTCTAATTTCGCGGCCGCGCGTTGGACGTGACGTTTGGTCGTTTACGGTTCCTGTGCCGTAGGATTACTGCCTGCCGAGATTGTCAGGTGTGATGAGATGGGCGGGACCTTGCATGACGATGTGCGAACTCATTTACGGGGAGGACATGATGCGGCGTGTGAGTGTCCCGTCGGTTATCTGTCAAGGCAATCTGAACGACATTATCAGACTGTGAAATTAGACACACTTCTAGGCCGGGTGGATTCTAATCTCCTGATCTTCATTCGACCACTCGTGGATTGCGATAGAGAAAGAAATGAGGAAACTTGATGTTGGAAGTAGGAAGGCTTGCGCCCTCCACCTGGCGTTATCACAAGCTCATGATAGCCAAGTCCGAATACTAGAACAGAAGCATCGCGAGTTTGGGGCACACGAAAAGCCTGCAAAGGCTCTGGGCGCGAGAACCGCAAACTCGCCCCGGTTCCTTGGTCTCGGTCTTTATGGGCCGCCGCCACGATCCCGTCGCTTATCTCTGCGGCGGCCTTCCATGGCCTGCGGGCTACGGGATAACATCGCGCTATTGAGATCCTTTCCTTGCGCGCACGTACTTGAACGTGACTATCGTTGCATTTTTTGTTCAAGTAATTGTGATGGCGGCATTTGGGGAAGGATCACGAAACTGTTCTTGGTTGTGGTAGAGAGAAGCAGGAAATGTGTTTATACCGATTTTCACGGAACTATGCGGCGAGATTTTGGGGCCGCAAAAAAGACTTGACCGTTGGAAAAACATGGTTCAGCCTTTGGAGGAATCCGGGGCAATGGGTATAGTATTGCCGGGTTCAAGGTTTCCAGGACGCCGGGTCGGCTGGGCTTTCATGTTTTTCTTTGCGAGTCAGGTCTCCGGGTTGCCTCCCCCGTTCTGATTTCGATGGAATAGAGTTTGTGGGTTAATTACCTCAAAGGTGTACGCAGTATGGAGTAGGTAATCAAATTGGACATTGTTTGGACGACGGGCCATGTCATCCTGCTTGCGAACTGTCATACTGAAAGCAGCATTGGTACATTCTTGGACGAACGGGATGGCAGGGGTATTTTGTAAGTGCTACGACTTGTATTAGTGAAGTTGAATCGATGACATGTCCACCGATCCCGATCTGCTCGCGACCGCGGCTGCCCGTGAGAGAAGGATGAAGAGAGTTAGAGAGAAGTCAGGCGCCCAAGAGGAACCGCATCGGAATTTCCCTTCCGAAGAGAGGGCCGTCGTGGCGGAGGGCACGGGCTGGTGGGAGCGGGTTGGTCGGGTCCGGTGTTGGTTTGGCATGGAGCGAGGCCAAAGTTTTGCGGTGTGAGAGGTTGGTCTCCTCACATCTGTAGGTAAAGCAAGGCTTGTGTTTCCCCTCGACTCTAGCGATTGCATCCGGAGTGCTTTCCATTCAGTAGCCGACTGGAAGCTTCGGAATGTGTTGTGGAAGCTTCTCCAACGTGTTCGCGGGGAAGCACGGCAGCGCGACTGGGCCGCCTCTTTGAAGTGCCGGGCAAGTTTACTCTGAAGAGGGACGGATTCGGTCTCGTCAAAAGATTTGGGGCCCGGGGTGGGATTACTGGCCCAGAAGACACAAGAATGGCATTCAACACATCAAACGGCATTCAGACAAGCTCATGGGTCACTGTCCATTTGCGGTTCATCAACTTTCCATGTGCCAATGCTGGCAGAGTGCCGTTGCCGAAAGCAGGCGGACCGGTGGATGATGGTGTCCTTGGCCGACGAAATCGATGTGGTTCTCGACTTGCGGCGCGGGTGGTGTGAGTGTACTTACTCACGCTTATGATGGGCTTGTGTGGTATGGCTACAGCCAAGCATCGACAGAGTCTTGGGGCTTTGCCTCTTTGTACACCCAATTCGATGGACCATTGTTGACGGCTTGGATATGTTTCTAGGCGAGTTTAGAGAACGACAGGTAGGCGCGCAAATCCGGGGGCGTTCTTCACTCTTTGCATTCCTCAATGGGTTCTACACCTTGTGGAAGCGTTGCTTTGTGGAATAGAGACACCAAAGAAATGGGAACATGCGGAGAGAGAGAGGCGCAAAGCCACGCGGCGTGCGTCTGGGGTGGTTGTGGTCGCGCCACGACGCCACGACGCCGTCCCCGCTGCGAACCTACGGGCTGCGAACTGCTGGTGCCAGCGTGATCGTGGCTTTGTGGCTGCGTGGCTGCATGAGGTGCGCCCGGGAGGTGTGTTGGCTGGCTGGCTTAATTCTCTCGACTCGAGTCTGAGGGGTGGTATTGGGGTCGCTGGTTGGATCACGAGGGGGCAGTCTAAACGAGATCAAGTTTTTTTTGCCATTATGGTTACCTTATGTTTAGGTCCGGCTTACATGGGTGGTTGCAGAAGAAAAACGCATCCGAGTGTCAGCGTTCGAAGCTTTCTGCGACTTGGATTTCCCCCTAGGTAGGTTTTGACGGTCTTGGTTGCCTGTATGAGAATGGGAAGATCGAGATCTGGGTTCACGATTGTTGCGGTGAGCTATCCGCGGTGAGCACGGCCGAGATATCGTGCCCCGGTTGGGCGCCAAGACGAAGGCAACTCGCAAGACGGGAGGCCGGAATCGGCGCTACTGTAAATGGTGTCTTGGGACTAACCGTCGCTATTGTCAACTCCAAGTCTCCAACAGGATGGGAAACGAACAACGCTACCCTATAATCTGGAGACTTCAATGCAGGATGACGATTTGTCCAGCGTAGACGGGCATGGGACTAAGAGAAACGCTCAGACGGACGGACGGGGGGCGGGTATGCGGTTCGGACGTGCCTTTTGCCCACTTGAGCATCTGTTGCCTTAGTTTAGCATGTTTAGTTCCTCCTCTCCCCCCTTGCCATGCCTTTTTTTTCGGCCTTCGGCACCGGAGGATATTTTCCCTCATGTCGGGTTTTGTCTGCACTTGCTGGGAACTTGGGAGCTGGGAAAGTGGGAAGTGGACGATTCTCACAGGCATAGAATTGGGGGCCCGGTGACCCTAGGTTCTCCCGCTCCTTTGTGTGTCGTGAGGTTTCGGGAACTTGATATGTGGGTTTCAGGGCGTCTCTCGGATTCTGCGGAGGAAGAGACGCATCATGCGGATGCTCTGGATAGATCATGGAGATGTGGTGACGGGCGAGTGAGACCCAATTACAAGCGTATGATATCCGCTATTCCTTGGGGAACTCTCGGCTACCGGGACTTGGGAAGCTTGGGGGACTCGTCTGGAGCCCTCTGAGTCCCATCTTTTGCTCTTCATGCCCGTTGCCGTGATGTAGGCCAAGGTTTCCGGAGGCCTGGGAGACATGCTGCTCCGGAGCAACCAGCCGGCTCGGCTTCTCCTGGCGATTCTGCGACCTTTTTGCTTTACCCAGATGCCGCACGCACGCACGCCAGAGTGAACAGCCGAGACATTCGAGTGCCCAGCAACGAAAAGGAAGATGGAGCACTTGGTCGTCAAACGTGGACTCACTTGGGTCCGCATGCGTAGTTCAGCCCATGCCTCCCAGCCCCAGACCGCCGTTAGCAGTGGACGTTCAAGTAGGTGATCGAACGGAAGGGGGTGTTCTAAAAGCCTGAATTTCAGAATTTCCGGACAGCAAACATGTGGCGTCGGCCGTCCTCTTTTGGGGATGAGATGGCAGGCCGGAGACTAAGGAAGTAAGCGCAAGCGCGGGGGCTACCGCTACGTTGTGACATTGACCGACCATCGCCTATTGGGGGCTATTTTCTTGCGATAAGGAAGATGAGAACAAGATTGATGATTTGCTCGAAGGCTTTGCATCGCTTCAAACTCTGGGAGGGTTCATTTCCCTGAACTGACGCCGGTCTCGGTGTAATTCTTTCTCGCTGATAAGTCCGTTGCATTGCGTCTCATCTCATGCGAACTACGGATACACTGATACAGTATCAGTATCTATGTACTATCTAGGCTCGCTCACTCACTCACTCAATCCGTCAATCAATCATATTCCTGGCTGCTAGCTCACCTGTCATATTTGCGATCATCAGCCACGATATCGAGGGTACAGATAACACGAAGCCACTTTTCTCTCTCTCATCCTTCGACGTGGATGGGTGTAGTTATCGTCTTATTTGACTTTTTCATGAGCCAATAGAGTAAAGCATTGCCCTATTCGGACGAATCTTAAATTGGCCCAAAACTTTTTTCACTTGACTCTTGTCATCTCATCTCACGAAGTTTGTTTCCATTATTCTTTTTCTCACAGTGATACATTTCCGCCTCATTTTCCGCGCGTCTAGCAACCCATTCGATAATCCGATGATTGGGTACAGCCCTTCTTCTTCTCCCCAGGCAACGCAATGGGGCAGAGTATGAGCCGTCAAGGCCGTCCATCAACCCCTGAACCCTTCGTCTTCAATAGCGCGAGCGGGACCGCAAAAAAAGAGCGGGAAAAAAAGAAAGAAAAGAAGGATCCAGGAACGACATCATCGTCATCCTTACGGGGCCAGTCAGTGGTGGTGGGGTGAACAAGAATGATCCACGTTTTGCAGGTACGGAGTACGAATTGCTCTGTACCTCCTTACCCATGGGTTTTTTTCTTCCCTTTTTCGTACTCTGCTGTTCTGCCCGGGACAATATCCCTGTTTGCGCTGCGTGTCGTGTGCCTCGTTGCTGCGTGCCCCTGACGGGGAAGAACCCTCTTGCCGTTTCTTCTTCTGCTGCGACTCGGGCGTTTTTTTTTTCCCCTGATGTGATTTTTATTCGTCACCCGGGAGAGACGAGGAGCAGTACCCAATTTTAAGAATTGCTCCACAAGCAACGCCGAGAGACACGGAGGATGGGTTTGTCTGAAGCGGCGGCGAACGGAAGGGAGTCACCATAGCAGCGAAAGCCAGCAGAAAAACCGCGCATGTTAAGGACTGAGGCCATCGGAAGGATCGTAGAGTTTAGGGACACGGAGACTTTGTCGCTTTTGATGATGAGGATACGTCAGCTTCAATATGCTCTCCGTGTCGGCTTTTACCTACAGACCGCGAAGCTTTTTCTCATTGCCCACCAGGGGGAATGTCTTCAGGGAGTGGCCTTGTCGGAAGCTCACCTGTCAAACGTCTCTTAGCCCGAGCTTTTTCGTTTTGTTTAAACTTTTAAGGGGGAAAGGGGACCTGGGGGAATTCGGAAGAGTCCTAGCAGGCGAGATGCCGCAGTCCGGTTGGTGTTGATCTTGCCATTGCTTTGTTCCTCCCCGCAGACTTCATCTTTGTTCCTCATGTTTGATACTGTCCGTCAGCCGTCCATCTCGAAGATTGGCTTCCTCCGGGGAACAAGCGCAAAGTCCAGTGCCTACTAGGTAAGGATACTGCAGTAGACGGCGGCGGGCGGCGGGCACATCTTTCTCATCCAATCCCGCGACCTCCACATTGAAAAACAGGCGGCTTACATACTAGCCCATCGCTATTTGACCAGAGGAAAACCAAGGCCCCGCGGACCAGCAAAAGAAATAACGTGTGGGAAAATTACACCGGGAAATACAGCTGTGGTTTGCAACGTACCTTCTGCGAGTTGGGGTTTACTCATTACAAAAATACAAGAGTTTCTCGTATTTCCATATGGGGACAAATTCACACCCCCTACACCGGCATCCAGTAATACACTGCCGCACTAGACTCTAGAGTGTTCACAAACAGTTTCTGAATGCGGATTGGACGTGGTCTGGAACTGGGACTTATTCAAACCGGACCAGCTGAAGACGATGAATGGATCCTTAACGCTGGGGACGGAGCTGCTTTGTTGTTCTACGCAGTAGCTTGACCAGCTGTCAATCATCAGTGCGTATCTCCAACCTCGAAGGGCTCGCTGTCAAAAGTGTGTCTAGCCGTCTGCCAACCACCCTGGTCGATTTGTTTGCTTGATCCCAGACGTGCGCGCGTGCGTTTGATGAGATAGCCGTCCGTGTCTCTCTGCGGGTACCATCTTCTTTTTTTGCAACCCCGGAAACTATCTCACTTTTACGGAGTACCTTACACGTGTACACCATATCACACCGCGTGGCCTGGGGTTGTTGTTCAAAAAAGAGAGAGCCAAGTCAGAGGCAGTTGGACCTTATCTTTTGGGGCCATGCATGGGGTCGAAGTTTGAACGGAGGGGCGTGTGCGTCCATCATGTTCATCTTTCCCACTTGGGATCTCAGGTGAAGTGAAGAGCATGAGAAGCAGATGAAGGAGTGAGAGAAAGAGAGGTACAGAGAAACAGAGACGGGACGGGAGAGAGATAGAGGAACCATGATCTGCTAGACCTGGCTGACACTTCTCCGTCTCCTGGTGCCGCCATGTTCCTTGTTCCTTGAATTGGGTGGTTCCAGACCTAGGAAACATCCTGTTCGCTGCCCAGTACTCCGTAGTCCATCCACCCTTGAACCTGCCCGGCGAGCGCGCGCGTGCGCTATCTTTTGCCTTGCTGTATCCGTCCCCGTTCAGAGTTCCCCATCCCCATCCCCAGTCCACCACAGTGGGTGTGAGTGAGTGAGTGACTGAGCAGGTGAATATGCCCAGTGAGTGAGAAGTGTGGTGTCCATCTCATCCACACCCGCTCTTTGTGGGAATACGGAGTACACAGCAGTGTTTCCATTATCCATAGCATGGCCCAATATCTACACACCCTTTCCCACCCTCCCCGAATCCGTCCCATCCCATCCGTCCCCCATCGTCGTCACTCGTCCTCGGACATTGCATTGCAGCTCACTCGCAACTTACTCATCTTTCTCTCACTCTGCTCTCACTCATCCTCGCTCTCTTACATACTCTCACACTCTAATCACCTTTCTCTCTCTTGCAAAGGAGGCGCAGGTTGTAGCAGGACGATATCTTGGCTTCCTATACCCCGTCTGTGCCTTGGGTCTCTCGCAATCCTTTTTCTTCGCAGTCCTCTCGTTTCTGTTTATTCGTCTCTTATTCGGCTTATACCCCCTCGGCGCAGCCACCGGTACCTTACCTTTCAACCCACCATCCATCGGCACAGCACATCAGCACTGCGACGAAAGAAACACTCGGGTTTGGAAACTTGCGGCCCTTGCACCGGCGCATTCCCGACGAACCGCCTTCTTTGGTACCGGATGCTACGACGAAGCAGCGCTCGACACTTGCAGCAGATCCTCCATGTTTCGCGCGCTACGTCACTGTCACCAGGTTCGCAGATTGAAACAAGGAGAAGAAAGGCAATAGCTGAGCAGCAGCAACAACAACAGCAACGACAGCGATAATTCCACCACTGCACAACGGAACACAAGAGTTAAATTGTTGCATCACCAAATACCACCAATAACAGGGCCATATCACAGACCACACACACAGAGCAGCGAGCAAACGCCAAGAGTGAACGAGAACCCAAGCGCCACGACTTCGTCCCATCGTCGGCGCATCCAAGTGAATCCTCGATCACCGTTGAGCACCAGGTCAACAACCACTTCTTACTCCAGACGACAGTGTTGGACAAAGGTGCACCGCCCACGCAGGGACCGCGACTCGGAAACGCCATCCCATCATCGCCGCCCGCCAAACGAACGCACCCCAGACTCGACGGAACCGAGAAACTCGCAAACCAAGCAAACATTGACGACGTTTTACCGTGCTTATATTCTTTTTGCTGCGCCCAAAACTTGTTTTGAGTCTCCATCACAGCAATGGCGCACGCAGCCTACGCCTCGGTGCGCAGGTCCTCGACGTCGTCCATGGGCTCAGACTTTAGCGACGCAGATGCAGCAGCAGGCGGTATGGGAATAGGAACGAGAACGAAAACAAGAGCACAAGACCGAGACTACACAAAAGACCTGGCCTCGTCGTCTTCGCAGCCGTCCGTATCCGCCACGGCAACGCCCAGTCCCGCCAACTTTCTGTCTCTTGCCGACAAGAGCTTCACGCCTCTGTCCATGGACAGCGACCTATTTCCCGATCGCGATTTCGACTTGAGCTTTGGCGGTAGCAGCAGTAGCGCGGCAGGAGAACGCAAGACGACGAGCAGCCCAAGATTCCGCGACCAGCAGAGGTCGACGTCACCACCGCCAGCGACAGCGATGGCAGCGCATACACAGGAGACTAGGACGAGGTCGAGGTCGAGAGAAGCATATTCAGGATTAAGCTTACAAGAAGAGACACTACTATCCCATGCGGCGACCGGAACGACTTTGGCAACGACAGGAATGGTGGCAGCGGCAGACGCAGACGAAGAGCGAAATGTCTCGGGCGCACGCGACACGACGGAAATAGAGTCTCGGCCGCGGCGGTCAGGGTCGCACTCGAGAAAAAGTCAAAAGGAGGACGGTGACGGTCACAGCACAGAGGCAGAGTCAAGGAATTTTGGAGACCGAAACGAAGAGTGCGAAAAGCACGAAGATGACGAGGTGCCGCCATTCGCAATTTCGTCTAGGAGCCCGCGCCAGCGCCG